GGTCAATGCAGGTCAAAATATACAATAATACACAAAAACATAATGAATGTGGGAGAGAAAATATGGTGTAAGTTCAATAATTAAAAACATCAGTGGCTCTCATGGAGGTTATGGGAGAAATATGAACAGCTGTTGATCAAAAACATTTCTGTGTTAGATTTATTAACTTGAGATCTTCGACACTGTTGATCACATCCTTATCAAAACGTTAAATAAATATGGCATTAGATGATCAGTGGGTATTTACATACCTGAATAATAGGAAACTGTTTGTAAAAAATGTGAGATCTAAACAATGTAATATTACATGTGGCGTTCCTCAAGGTTCTGTGCTTGGACTAAAACTGTTTGTTTTATGATTTGGTCAGTGTGTCGAGGCTTTTAAAGTGTGCTTTCACAAATCCTATTTTTATTCTACAGAACTATGTAAGACTTATTAGTATAAAGTGCTAGGGTCATCCAACAAAAACATTGTTTTATCTGTTGAAATTATTAAATTTCATGATTTGATTGATTATAATATTTCACAAGTAATGTATAAAGCTCATAAAAATTTTACTTTCAAATATTCAGTAAAAAAATTTTTAGAACTTAAGATGATGGAGATTTTTTTTAATAAAATCTCCTTTTGGAACCAGTGATGTTCTGTAAATCAAGGAATAAGTTTGTGGAATAGTTTTGCTAATATTAGACCAGACTCAGGGTGGGCATTCATCAGCCTGACAGAGAGGACAGGTAAGAGACCCAAACAAATAGTGACTGGTCCAAGGTGGTCCAGGTGTAGTTTTTGTGGTCCAGGTGCTTTGATGGTTGTTGGATAATATTTTGATGCAATTAACGGCTCCGTCATGTTAAATCTTAATAAATCATAGAGAAGGGGAGGGGGTTCTTTAGGGTCCACACTTACAGTTTTACAGTGCATACGTCCCCAACCTTTTCTTACCCATAATCCCCTAACGGCTGCACGCTCTTATTTCCCCTGAGGGTCAGTGAGCTGCGCTGCGCTGCAGGAATGCATTAAATTCAAGAGTTGTTGACGCACGCTCAACAGAAAGCAATAACCTGTGCAGGGTCACCCCCTTCCCCCGCCTCCCCCTATTCCTTTCATTTTCTGAGGTCGAACAGAATTGCCTTTTAGTGCTAGTGTGATTATGTTCCATTTAACATGGGAATTATAAGAATTACACACTTAAGTGTCGAGCAGCATGCTCAACAAGATTAAAAACACCATCACTGGGTGGAAAAAGGCACGGGGGAGGGGAGCGGCAGCAGGTACTGTATGTTGCTTTACACTCTGAATGTTATCCAGAAAATGTTTGAAGAAAACAGTTTTAACAGTTTAAAGTTTTACTTTGAAAATTTGGAGGAACAAGTTTTATTTCATGAACATGACTGTTGACTTTTTGAAGTCATTTTCTCTGAACTGATTGATTTTGTTTGGAGAATTCTTTTCTGACAAGATGCTAATCCTGAAC